ATTATTATGACCCAAAGGCCATTGGGGGACACATCCTGCTGCCATGGTAGATATTTCCAGCTAACACTGGTTGCAAGCTTGCAACATTGTGGAACTTGGAACTTCTGCTACTGGGAGGGGAGGAGACGGCAGAACTTGCTGGTGCATGGGAGGTGGGCTTGCACCACACACAGGAAGGAGGGCTTAGGTTGTGCATAGAGGGGAAGGGAGTTAGGAGGGTGCACGGAAGAGGACATGCACAGGGGCCAACTGCTGTGTCCCAGGCCGGTTGTTTTTGTCTCTCAAAGCGCGAACTTCTTGGAGCTGTCAATCACTGACTCCCCAAAGTGAGGAGCAGCTGGCCAGCCCTTTGGCCCAGGCTGTCAGTTACTGCCCTGTGCTGTTGGAGGGGTCCAGGAGGAGCTGTCCAGCAGTTTGGCTGGAGCTGGTGCAGCAGGATTGGTGTACAGAGACAAGACACCAAGACAAATAACAGGATGTAGTCTTTATTTTTGTGGTGGAATTTTTTTCTCCAAAATCCTGAGCCCAGAACAAAAGGGGCCCTGCCTTATATATGGTTTTAGCCTCCTTGTCTCCCTTATATGGTTACCTGCATGCATTTGATTGGCTATTATAGGAACTGATACAACACTGGGCATGGGTACGTAGTTACTGATGATGTTTTCTTCCACACATACACTGAGCTGTAAGCTGTCTGGCGAGGTTAACACCATTGCTCTGTACTAACAAGCAGAACCTGAGATGGTTACACATGAGCAGGTAGGAACTACAGCTGAAGCATTTGGGTCCCATGGAGCAAAAGACCACAGAGTGATTAAGCCAAATTGGGAGTCGTCATTAGCCAGCTGGCGGCTGGTCTACTCACAGAACAAGTCTGGGGAATCAGCCCCGAGTTGCAGTTGTGGGGTATTTTAAAAGCAGAAACCTCAGCTTTAATCATGTCAGAGAGAAGCAAGTGCAGTTAAAAGACAGAGGCCTCTGAGTAGACCAGGAACTGTAAGACCAGAGCTCTTCCCCTTGCAGCAAAACCAGCAGGCAGTGGAGAGACAAATGAAGACATCACGATTTTCATCGGTTCTGAAACTTGAAACCCCCTAGCATTTGCTATCAGGTTCCCTGTTCCCTGTGGACATCGCTAAGCCTACATGAACTAGTACCACACCTGAGCAGCAGACACGGCCAGGGCCAGGGCCATGTCACCCAGCAGCCCAGTCCAGGAAACTTCTGGGCTGCTCCTTTCTCAGTCCTCAACCTCTCGGAGCACAGAGCTGCCCAGCTCCGAGATTGTTCTTTTTAAAGTTTATTTCTCTGTGTTTGAAAGGCAGAGAGACAGAGCTCTTCCATCTGCAGGTTCACTCCCCAGATGCCCCCCTATAGCTGGGCCTGCACCAGGCTGAAAACAGGACTCCAGAATCCAATCTGAATTTCCCCAAGTGCTTGAGTCATGCACTGTCTCCCAGTGCACACAATAGCAGAAAACTGAGATCAGAAACAGGCCCAGGACTAGAACCAGGCCTGCAGATGTGGGATGCAGGCCTCCCAGGCTGTGACTTCTCCGCTGAGCCAAATCCCTCTCCTGATTTTATTCATTGGAATTCAAGCACTGACAGAATAGAATTAGCCCTCCCAACTCTTTTTAGATAGCTCTGCACATTACTTACATCCTCTATTTACAGTGTTAGCAATAATCAGCTACCTATGATTTTTGTCACAATTATCAGGTAATTTTTAATATTTGAAATCCAAATTATTGGAGCTGGCGCTGTGGTGTACAAGGTTAAAGCACTACCTGCAGTGCTAGCAAATAATATGGGCACTGGTTCGAGTCCTGGCTGCTCCACTTCGATCCAGCTCCCTGCTAATATGCCTGAAAAAGCAGCAGAGGATGGTCCAGGTATTTGGGCCCCTGCACCCAGATGGGAGACCTGGTTTTGTCTTGGCCCAGCCCTGGCCACTGTGGCATTTAGAGAGTGAACGAGTAGATGGAGATCTCTCTCTCTCTCTCTCTCTCTCTCTGTACCTCTGCCTTTCAAATACATAAATAAATCTTTAAAAGGGAAAGAAATGCAAATTATTGTTTTATTTAAACTAAACCTCATACAATATATTTTTTAAAGATTTATTTATTTGAGAGGCAGAGTTAAGAGAAAGTGAGACATGGAGAGAAAGGTCTTGCACCTGCTGGCCCACTCCCCAAATGGCCACAACAGCTGGAGCTGTGCTGATCCAAAGCCAGGAGCCAGGAGCTTCCTCTGGGTCTCCCATGTGGGTGCAGAGGCCCATGCACCTGGGTCATCTTCTACTGCTTTCCCAGGCCATCAGCAGAGAGCTGGATCAGAAGTGGAGCACCTGGGATGCAAACGGGTGCCCACATGGGATGCCGGCGTCACAGGTGAGCCCCAACACTCTGGGCCCCAGCACTGGCCCCCCTTACACAGTGCAGAAAGCCTTCATGTGTCACATTTTTGTATAACAGTGATCCAAACTGTGAGGAATATTTTTTAGATTTTAAAATCTGATTTATGTTTAATTGACACATTAAAACTGTACATATCTATGGAGTTACAGAGAGAGAGGCAAAGAGAGAGAGAGAAAGTCTTCCATCCACTGGTTCACTCTGCAAATGCCAAAATGGCTGGAGTTGAGCTGATCCAAAACCAGGAGCCAGGAGCTTCTTCCAGGTCTCCTGTGTGGTGCAGGGGATCAAGGACTTGGGCCATCTTCTGCTCTCCCAGGCCATAGCAGAGAGCTGGATGGGAAGCAGAGCAGCTGGGACTCAAACTGGTGCCCATTGGCATGCTGGTGCTGCAGGCCTGGGCTTTTACCCACTATGCCACAGCACTGGCCCTTGCTATAAAAATCCTATTCATTCTACTTTTAACTTAAGCCACTCAGATGTTGGAACTCCCGTTCTCATCAGATAAGGTCAAGTGGCCAGTGTGGAGCTTGCTGAGCAGTGGCCTCTGAGGGTTCACTTTATTACTCATGTATGTTTTAAATGCTAGTATTTGATGAATATAAGTTTCCACATTGTTGCTATTTCTACATTTAAAAAATGGGGGCGGGACGCTATGGCGTAGCGGGTAGAGCCGCTACCTGCAGTGCCCGCATCCCATATGGTTAGGGTTAGGATTCGAGTCCTGGCTGCTGTACTTCCCAACCAGCTCTCTGCTATGGCCTGGGAAAGCAGTGGAAGATGGCCCAAGTGCTTGGGTCCGTGCACCTGCATGGGAGACCTGGAGGAAGCTCCTGACTTCGGATCAGCCCAACTCCGGCCATTGCAGCTATTTGGGGAGTGAATCCACGGGTGGAAGACCTCTCTCTAGCTATGCTTTTGAAAGAAAGAAGAAGGAAAGAAGGAAAGAAGGAAAGAAGGAAAGAAGGAAAGAAGGAAAGAAGGAAAGAAGGAAAGAAAGAAAGAAAGAAAGAAAGAAAGAAAGAAAGAAAGAAAGAAAGAAAGAAAGAAAGAAAGAGAGAAAGAAAGAAAAGGAAGGAAGGAAGGAAGGAAGGAAGGAAGGAAGGAAGGAAGGAAGGAAGGAAGGAAGGAAGGAAGGAAGGAAGGAAGGAAGGAAGGAAGGAAAGGAAAGGAAGTATAGGAGGGGCTGGCGCTGTGGCACAGTAGGTTAATCCCCCACCTGCAGCGCCAGCACCCCATATGGGTGCTGTTTCTAGTCCTGGCTGCTCTTCTTCCGATCCAGCTCTCTGCTATGGCCTGGGAAAGCAGTGGAAGATGGCCCAAGTCCTTGATCCCCTGCACCACGTAGAAGACCTGGAAGAAGCTCCTGGCTCCTGGCTTTGGATAGGCACAGCTCCGGCCTTTGCGGCCATTTGGGGAGCAAACCAGCAGACGGAAGACCTTTCTCTCTGTCTCTCCCTCTCACTGTTTATAACTCTAACTCTCAAATAAGTAAATAAAATCTTTAAAAAATAAAAAAAGAAGTGTAGGTGCTAAATTTCTTATTAATGTGCAAGCAGCTCACACTGTTTTGTATGGTGCAGATACATTCTTATTTCTACCTGCTAGCTAAATTCAATTTTAAGAATAAAATTAGATTTAAAAAAATAATAATAAAAGTAAAATACTGTGTGCCTCCAATAAAATGCAAGTTCATCCAATGTGAACAGCTTTCTTTCTCATGGGTTTAAGAGCCTGCTCAAGGGCAGTGCTGTGCTGTAGCAGGTAAAGCCACCGCATGCAGTGCCGGCATCCCATATGGGTGCCAGTTCAAGTCCCTGCTGCTCCACTTCTGATCCAGCTTTCTGCTATGGCCTGGGAAAGCAGCAGAAGATGGCCCAAGTTCTTGGGCTCCTGCATCCACGTGGGAGACCTGAAAAAGCTCCTAGCTCCTGGCTTCAAATCAGCACAGCTCCGGCTGTTGTGGCCAAGTGGGGAGTGAACAAATGAATGGAAGCGTGCTCGCTCGCTCACTCTCTCTCTCTCTCTCTGCCTCTCTGTAGCTTGGCCTTTCAAATACATAAATAAATCTTAAAAAAAAAAAAAAAAAAAGGAGGCTGCATACCATGGAAAGAAAATAGTTTAAAACAAACAAACAAAAAGTACTCCAAATCATAGAAGACTTTCAAGAACTGTAGATTCAGGACCCCCCAGGCAGGGGTAGAACAGGGAGGTGGCTATCCCAACAATGATGGAAAGTTCACCTTGCTGCACCATCTTTACCAGCAGTTGATCTTATGGCTTTTTTTTTTTTTTTAAGCTGTTTTGATCCGTGTGCAGTGGAGTCTCACTTTAATTTGCATTTGCCTCGTGGTGAGTAACATTAGCGTCTTCAGCATCTCTCCAGGTGCTTGGAGAGCTGTCTGAACGACATTTGCCCGGTTTTAATGAGGCATGGTTCCTTACTGGTGAGTTTGGAGAATTCTTTGTGTTCTGAATGAAGATATTCCTGAGTCTGTATCCTGTGTCTGTAGCTTGAACTCTTGCGGACTTCATAACATACATGCAAGCTGTCAATACAGAAAGCAAGTTGAGGCACATGGAATGCGGGAGTAAAGGAGTTTATTCACCACCAAGAAAGGCTCGCCAGCAGCTGCCTGAGAGCCGCTACAGACGGCTGCACGGCCAGGTCAAAATCCACAGAGATCACACCCGCAAATGTCAACACTAAACCTTTGCAGGAAATAATCAGCTGGGAACATTTAGTGGAAATGTCGGCGTGGACGTTGTTCCTGGTCTGTATCCCTGAGCCAGCGCAGCCCGAGCGGCGCGCGCCCCGCCAGGGTCCCAGGGCGCCAAGGACCGGACCCCGCCCTGTCCTCAGTCTGAGTTCCGCAGGGGGATCATTGTACAGGAACGGAGATCACCCACCTTCGAGACGCCTCTCCTCAGCCCTCCCGAGCTCCGTCGTCCCACCCCCTCCCCCATCCCCGACCTCCACTTCCAAAAGCCTGGGCGCCACAGGCTAGGCGGTAGTTTCCTTTCTGAGCTCACCGGAAGCCCGAGGTCGACCACAGTATGGCTGCGCGCGCGCACAGGGGTCCTCCAACCTGGGCCGGGCCCTGGGCGCTCGTCTTCCTGCTGCTGAGCTTCCTGCGGGACGTGGGGGCCGGTGAGTAGGGGTGCGTGCGGAGGGCTGGGAGAAGCCGCGGGAGAAAATGGAGGTGGCAGAGGCTCCCCGCGGGGCACTGTCTAGGGGCGACGGTCTGGAACCTCGGGGGAGGCCGCTCCCCTCGAACCTGGGGTTCAGATGTCTCCATCACACTACGGTTCAAAGGAAAACAGGAAACACAGGCTCGCGTCACAGCGGTGATGCTTTTGAGGAAACAGGACTTTTGTCTGCAGCCCCAGCCGGTCTGTTGTACCCGGGGCCGGCGGCTCCAAGCTTCTTGGCGGCTGCAGAGAGACTCGGAGCAGCAGCCAAGTTTACTGACGGGGAGTTTTTCCCTCCTCCCCCTGAAGGTTCGTGGGTGTGGTTACCCTGAGAAACCCTGGCACCGCCTTCTCAGCACAGTGTTCAGCTAGGGAGTGGGCTGAACCCCATCCCACAAGAGCAGTGGTTTAGAAATGCAGTTGCTGATAACGTGGCTTTTAAAGTTCTCCTTCCACCACACAGAAGTTCTTATTTCCTGCAAAAAAAAAAAAAAAAACTTGTTTTCTTCGGTTCCTCTTACACACATAGACTAACAAAAGGACAAAGTAACTCATGACTTGAAAGCTGGACTCAGCCCTAAGAAGTGTAGAGAGGACCAGCACTGTGGCGTGGCGTGGTAGGGTAAGCCTCAGCCTATGGCACTGGCATCCCATATGGGTACTCAGTTTGCATCCTGGCTGCTTCACTTCTGATCCAGTTCCCTGCTCGTGTGCCTGGGAAAGCAATGGAAGATGGCCCAAGTCCATGGGACCCTGCAACCACATGGGAGACCCAGAAGAAGCTCCTGGTTCCTGGCTTCAGATCTGCCCAGCCCTGGCCATTGCAGCCATTTGGGAGTGAACCACAGGATGGAAGACCTTTCTGTCTGTGTCTCTCCTCCTCTCTCTCTAACTTTGCCTCACAAATAAATAGATAAATAAAACTATAGAGAAAAAAGAATTTGTCTTTAACATCTGTCTTGTGCCTTTCCCCCCTCTCCACAGGCATATCCTGACATGGTATTTCATTTTATTATTTTTTTAATTTTCTAAAAAAGCTTTATTTATTTACTTGAATGTCAGAGTTACACAGAGACACAGAGATGAGAGGCAGAGAGAGAGAGAGAGAGAGAGAGAGAGAGGTCTTCCATCCACTGGTTCACTCCACAATTGGTCCCAACTGCCAGAGCTGCGCTGATCCGAAGCCAGGAGCTTCTTCCGGGTCTCCCATGTGGGTGCAGGGGCCCAAGCACTTGGGCCATCTTCTGCTGCTTTGCCAGGCTCGTTGGAGGGAGCTAGATCGGAGAGGAGCAGCCGAACTTGAACCACTGCCCAGATAGGATGCTGGTGTTGTGGGCGGCAGCTTTACCCGCTGTCCACAGCACTGGCCCGAGAAAGGCAAAATCGGAGGAACAGAAACCAGGGAACTGGACCAACAGGAGCCACAAATGTCCCTGTGCTGTGAGAGTGGAGCCTGGAAGGTGAGGACCAGATTCTTTTCAACCTCATAGAGTGAACTGCACAAAGCTCAGACAAGCAAGCCTAACCCCGAGAGCTGGTGACAGGAAAGGAAGTTCGCTCGTTGAAAGAGCAGAAGCAGCCACGAATGAAAGCTGGGATTCCACAGGCGTTGGTCTTGGGTGAGGACCCTCACTGGGGTCTGGGAGTCACCTGTAGTGCAGGCCACGTGGCCGTTATCAGCCCGACAGCTTCTGACTGAAGGATTTTCAGCGAGCAGTTCCGTTCAACTTGTGATTTCCTGTCTTGAACTCCAAGTAGTCCTTGTGTCTCCAGGCTGAGGCCAAGGAGGCAGAGAAGGAGCCAAGCAGAACAGAGACTTTGACCTCTTTGGTTCTCAGCTTTCCCTCTAAGCCTTGTCTGTCTCCTGCCCCGCCTGCTCTCCTGGGCTCCTCCCTCCACCCCCACCACTCCCTAGTGCTGCTCACATGAGGCCCCCCGTGGAGTGGAAAACCCCTGGAATTATGGGTCTCTGAGCTGGGAGCCCCAGGGGTTTTCTGAAAAAATGGTTTTGTTCTAGAGGTGAGGAAGCAGAAGCCCTGGGGGGAGGGAGGGGCTCTCCCTAGGAGGCAGAGGGTGACAGTGACTCACAGGATCCAGGCAGGGGATGGGGGCTGAGATGGTGAAACCAGAGCCAGGAGCCTGGAAGACCCTGTCTCAGGCCACTCTCCCTAAGGCCATGCTCTGAGGGGGTTTCTAAGTCTCCCCCACCGCCGCAGACCCCAATCAAGGACAGCTTCACAGTGGAACTCGTCTTGACACCTTGCACTAACATTTCTGTCTCTGAGTTCTTGGTGGGCTTTGACTTCCTTATGCTGCTGGGTTGTGCTAAAATGTCTTCCCTTGGTTTCGTGCAGTGCACCCAGTATCTCCTATCTCACACACACACACACACACATGGTCGTGTGCACTCATTCCCCACACACTAGGAGCTGGGGCCTCACTCAGTTAATGATGTCGTTCACCCTGAGTCACTGTTCCTGCCTCAGGATCGCACTCTCTGCAGTATTTCTACTGGGCTGTGACAGAGCCAAGTCCAGGAGTCCCTGCCTTTGCTGCCTCTGGCTTCGTGGATAACCAACGCTTCATCCACTACGCCAGTGAGGAGAGGAAGGCTAAGCCTTGCGTCCAGTGGCTGAGGGAGGAGCCCAGTTACTTTGAGGATGAGACCAAGATCTTCACAAGTCGAATGAAGATTTTCCAGCTAAGCCTGAGAAACGTGCAGCAGTACTACAACCAAACCCTGAGGCCAAGTTCAAAGCCAGAGCAGCCGCACAAGCTGGCAGGTGGGTGTTGTGAGACGGTGGGTGGGATCTGTCTACACCAGTAATTACCATGGGGTCGGCTGGGCAAACAAGGGTGCACAAGCTGTCACTTGGGAATGAAGACCGCCCAGTCTGGTCACAGGCAACCTAGGTGTGTGTCACGGTCACTCGTTCACTAAGTAAGACTCTCACTGGGTCACAGGCACTACCTGGCCTGTGCCTTGGGTCCTGTGGAGGTAGAGACAGGAAGAACATCACCAAGTGTGTGTATCCCGGGAGCTTGCAGCTCCTACAGGGAGGCACCCGTATGGCTGGCAGTGCTGTGCAGGTATTGGAGGCATAGCAAGAGGTGGCAAAGACTCCCTTGCATGCTTTTTCAGTCCATGCTGGACAGCACCTAGATCCTTCCCCAAGCAGGGCTGATGTCGCTCCCCCTCTTCATGGAGGAACGACACTAAACCCTGCCTAGGCTTCATATCCGAGTCACGGCACCATTATGTCGCTCCCCCTCTTCGTGGAGGAACGACACAGGACCCTGCGCTGTTCTTTCGTCTGCTCGGCCCTCCCCGGGTTTGCTGCTGGTTCTTCCCGGGTTGGCTACTATCCCTTCCACCTCCGTGGAAGGGCGGTTCCCCCTGGCCACTTTCCCCACTTCCGCAGGGGAGCGGCACACCGCCGGCCGGCTCTCTCGGGGGCTGCACAGGTGTTCCTCCAGATGTTCCCCTTAGATGTTCCTGGTGCATGCCGTCTCTCTCCTCCTTTATAGTCCTCCTCCGCCAATCCTAACTCGGCTGCCCACACGCCGAGTACGCTGCTCTCCTCCAATCAGGAGCAAGTCCTACAGTTTATTGGCTGAACTGGAGGCAGCTGTGTAGAAGCTGTTTTCTTCTCTCCCAGCGCCATATTGTGGGAGAGCAGCTGCATAGAATAAGTCTTAATTCCAGTAACTTAGTCCAGTCCGAGTTGCTCCCCACAGGCTGACAGCAAGGAGAGGTCAGCATCAGGAGGCCAAACTCGATTGTGTAGAGTGAGCGAGTCACTAAGGAGAAGCCGAGCGGTAAGGCAGGTGGGGTGCGGGGACGGGGACCGTGATGGAGAGGGGCGCCGGAGGTGCATCTGCCCATACTGACATGCCCGGGCCTGGGGGTGGGCAGGGCCCCACACTCTGCAGTTCACATATGGCTGTGAACTCCAAGACGACGGTGGGACCACGGGACACTGGCAGTACGGCTACGACGGTGACGACTACCTGACCTTGGATGTGGACTCTCGGCAGTATGTGGCAGCCTCACCTCTAGCCCGCTACACCAAGCAGAAATGGGAGGCCGGCCAGGACCACATGCAGAGAGACGTGATGTACTTGACAAAGGAGTGTGCCCTGTGGCTGCACAGATACTTGGAGCTCAGAGGGGCAAACTCCACGCGCACTGGTAATGAGCTCCCCCAGCCCCGCCACTCCCCCTCCCCCACACAGCCGGCGGGGACCACTCATGTCTCCTGTGTGTAAGGGGGTGGGGCCGGTCCTGGAGCTGCTCCGGCCCAGGGATGTAGGTTGTCTGGTTGCTGAGCTTGGAGTCCCTCAACCAAGAGGTGTGGATCTGGGGTCCTCTCATCTGACGTCTCCTGGGCAGTGCCTCTGTCCCTCCTTCCTAAGCCTCCCAGGGGTGAGAGAACTCTCTGGAGACCTCTAGGCATGGTTCTGGGGAGGGGCATTTCTCACACTACGGCTGCTTCCCCACTAGCGACACCGTCCAGGAGCAGGGCCTGAGAGCCCGGGGCCAGGGCAAGGAGGTCAGAAGAGGCTCCTCTGGAGGACAGGGTCTGCCCCGAGCTCTAGGCCCTTCCCTGGGACCAGTTTAACCCACTGGGTTCCCTCCACACCTGCGTAGCGGATGCTCCTGCCACTCTTCCCCCGACTCCTACCTGGTGGGCCCCCACGCCATCAGGAGCTGGGACATCTCCATCGTTTAGTGGACACCCTGCCCAGACCATCCCTGCTTTGTCTGCCACAGACCCGCCCAAAGCCCACGTGACCCACCACCCCGCCTCTGACAAGGAGGCCACCCTGAGGTGCTGGGCCCTGGGCTTCTACCCCGCGGAGATCTCACTGACCTGGCAGCGGGATGGGGAGGACCAGACCCAGGACACGGAGCTCGTGGAGACCAGGCCTGGGGGCGACGGAACCTTCCAGAAGTGGGCGGCTGTGGTGGTGCCTTCTGGGGAGGAGCAGAGATACACGTGCCGTGTGCAGCACGAGGGGCTGCCTGAGCCCCTCACCCTGAGATGGGGTGAGGAGGGCAGGGCGGCGGGGGCTCTGAGGGGAGGGCAGAGCCCTGCTGGGGCCTTCAGCAGGGTCAGGGCTGAGCCCTGGGGTCAGAGCCCCTCACCTCCCCTTCCCTCTCAGAGCCTCCTGCTCAGCCCACTGCGCTCATAGTGGGAATTGTTGCTGGAGTTCTTGGAGTTCTTCTGATCCTGGGAGTTGTGGTCGCTGTTGTGAGGAGGAGGAAGCACAGCTCAGGTAGGGGAGGGGAGGGTGGGGTCTGAGTCTCCTGTCCCCTGATAGAGGATTTCAAGCCTGGGTAGAATGCACCTGCCCCATTCACAGGAAGCTCCACCCACATACACTTGAGCTGGCTGGTTGCAGGCCTCTGCTGACGCCCCTCTGTAATACCCACGGGAAGTGAAGCAGGCTTTTCCCATTGGTGACTCTGGTTTGGGGGCCTGATTCCCCACAGTGGCAGGGAGAGAGCAGGGCCCTGCTGAGGGCAGACCTCTGATGGGGGCCTGGCTGCAGCCCTGCACTCCCTCTCTCCCCGTGATCCTGATCCTGCCCTGCACCCATGGCTCTGGAGACTCCAGTGGGGTTCAGGACTGGGGGCTCCCCCAGGGCCCCACGGCCCTGCCTTCTCCCTGGCTGCTCACGGGACTTCCTCTTCCCACAGGAAGTAAAGGATGGAGCTGAGCAAAAATGTGAAGGGGGGAGGCGCGCAACCCCTGCAGCAGTGCGTACAGAGCAGTGTGTACAGAGAGTTCACTCAACCCACCATTCCTTCTGCAGTCTCGTCTCCCTTGGCCCTGACTCAGCCTCGCTTTGGGCCAGGCAGGAACAGTGCTGGCTCTCGTGTCTTGTGAAGCTAAGACACTGGATCTTTGGTTTGGATATTCTGAGTGACCAGCGGGCTGCTGAGTGTGAGCATTCGCAGTGACCCACCTAGCTTTGTCATTCCTTCCTTCCACAGCGGGACACGGCTGCCTTACATCCAATGTCAGCACAATGCGTGATGGTCCCCGGAAGGAGGGGACTCCCAATGTCATTGAAAGAAGCTGTAAAAAGGAATAAAAGAGTTTGTTTTTTCAAAGATTCATTTATTTGAAAGAGTAACAGGGAGAGCAAGACAGCAAGAGCGAGTCCACTGCTACACACCCCAAATGGCCGTGGCAACCAGGGCTGGACCAGGCCAAACCAGGAGCCTGGAACTCCATCCTGGTTGCCTACCTGATGGAAGGACCCAAGCACCTGGGCCATCTTCTGCTGCCTTCCCAGGAAAATCAGCAGGGAGCTGGATCCGAAATGGAGCAGTCGGGACAGGAACCAGTGCCCATATGGGATGCCGGCGCTTCAGGCCAGAACGTTAACCCGCTACACCACAGCACCAGCCCCTGTTGCTGCTGTTTAGAGAGTGAATCAGCAGAGGGAAACTTCTGTCTCTGTCACTCTACCTTTCACATAAAGAAATTTTTTAAAGATTTTATTTATGTGGAAATCAGAGTGACAGAGAAAGAGAAGGAGAAACAGAAAGAGATCTTCCATCCCATGATTCACTCCCCAAATGGCCATGATGGCCAGAGCTGGGCTGATCTGAAGCCTGGAGCCAAGAGCTTCCTCCAGGTCTCCCAGGCGGCTGCAGGGACCCAAGCACTTGGGCCATCCTCTGCTGCTTTCCCAGGCCATAGCAGAGAGCTGGATCAGAAGTGGAGCAGCGGGACTAGAAACAGTATCCAAATGGGATGCTGGCCCCAGAGACTTTCTCTGGCACGCCACAAACACTGGCCTCAGTAATAAATCTGAGGTGGATGTATGTATGTATGTGTGTAGGGGATTGTCTTAGGGTCTGGCTGCCACAAATGCCACGTTGTAATTTTATCATGCCAGTCCCTGTTGCTGTTTGCAAAGTTGTTGCTCAAGGAGCACTAAAGACACAGTCATTGGGCTTTTGGAGAACGCCAGAGGGGGTGCAGGTGCCACCACTCAGAGTGCCCACAGGGGACGCTCACCCAGCTGCATAGCTGACCACGCTCCATGCTTGCACCAGGAGGAGGTTGTAGGGAAGTCCTAGGTCCTTACGCCTTTGCTGGTGCTTTGCTTCTTCCCTGAAGCCCGTGAGCTGCACATCCCTGCAGGAGAAGAGGAGCGCGAGAGGGAGAGGAGGGAAAGCAGAGACCCCGTGTTGCTGATGCCTATGTGGAGGCTTCCTCCAGTGGCAACCACTGCTCTGGGCTTGGCCTCCCCAAGCCAGCACCAGTCTTGTTTAAGAGCAGTCCCGTTCCCGCCTGGCGCAGGGACCCTGCTGACAGTGCAAAGCAGTGGGATGCCGCCCACGGTCCAAGGCTCTGCTGGAAACGCGGTCCCTTTGTTCAGTCAGGGAGAGGACCAGTGGGTGGAGGAGCTCCAGTCCTGTAGTCCAGGAGGGAGAAGCCCTTCCGCATGCATCCCAAATGCAATCCAAGGGGCACAGCGCACCCCCCAGCGCCGCAGGGAACAAGTGTACCAGGGAAGGGTCAGGAATAGAGCAGCTGCAGGCTCACTGACCCTGCTGCTCATTTTCCCCACACGGGTTGGGAGGGTGCCCAAATGCTCTGCTCGTCTCCCAGGACAGCCATCTGAGCCAAAGACACTGTCGCAGGTCCTGCTGGAGGAAGGAACCTCTTAGAAGTGGGGGTCTCCAGCCCTGGGCCCACTCTGCTCTCGCTCAAGGGCACCCAGCCTGCGTGCTGTCCTCAGCTCCTCGTCCAGGCTTGGCTGCCGCTGTCCCCCAGGCTCCAGCTCCACACACCCTCCCAGGCATCTCCCAGAGAGCCAAGAGGCTGATCCCACTGAGCCCCACCCTGTCTATGGTCTTCTGGACCCTGCCACAGCACTGCTCTGCTTCTGGGCGCTCGGCCTTCTCTGCTTCGCTACACTGAACAAAGCAGTTTATTCAACGCATGCTCAAAAAAGAATGTGAAAGTTTGTACAGCTGGTGTTCCGTTCATGGCTTCTACTCCCGCTGCACATGTGCCTAATTTCCTTTCGGTACTGGTTCCCTTAGCAGCCTCTCTCTCTCTCTCTCTCTCTCTCTCTCTCCCTTTCTGCCTCTCTGTAACTCTGCCTTTCAAATAAAATTTTAAAAATGTTTTTTAAAGGGCAGAGTTACAGAAAGAGGTGTGGGGAGAGAGAGAGAGAGAGAGAGAGAGAGAGAGAGAGAGGTCTTCCATTCCCAGATGACTGCAATGGCCGGAGATGGGTCCATCAGCCAGGAGCCAGGAGCTTCTTGGGTCCCCCATGGGGGTACAAGCACTTGGGCCATCTTCCACTTCTTTTCAGGCCATAAGCAGGGAGGCTAGATCGAAAGTGGAGCAGCCAGGTGCCCATATGGGATGCCGGTGCTGCAGGCAGATGCTTAACCTATTAAGCCACAGCACTAGCCCCAAATTAAATCTAAAAAAGAAAAAAAAAAATTCAGGACCCGTTGTCTTCCCTAGCTCCTCCCCCACTACACACACTGCTTGTTGTCCTATGAAAGTCCCTGCTGACACGCCAGGGTCTGCTTCCAAAGTGCCCCTCTACTGAGTCCCTGGCTCTGTCAGTTCCGCTTCCTTCCTAAAGTTTACTCCAATGGGATTCAGCAGGACAGCGAAGCAGGCCTCCTGCCGGCGCCTGCCCAGAACAACTAGCGCCCCCTGGTGAGGGCTTTTGTGGGAGCTGTCAGATTCTGAGAGGAGGTTGTGAGACTCTGGGGACGCCCAGACCACCTGGAGAGAGCAGCCCAGGGCGCGGAGCAGGCTCACTGGCCATGGTCATGGCTGCAGACCCACAAGTGGCACCGTGCACAGCTCCATTTGCCCTTGGTCCTGCCACCAGCGCCATCTGCCAGGCACCTGGGAGAGTCAGGCCCACTTGTGCCTTGGTGGTGACAGATGGTGGACTTTGTACAGGAACTAGCCCGGGCTGCTGGCTGCTGGCCAGGAGTCGGTTAGTCGGTTAGTTTATCAGAGCGGCCAGGCTAACTCTACAGTTTCAAATATCCTCTTCCCCAATTTGCAAGCTGGCCACAACTTCATGGGAGCAAGGATAGTTGGTGGGGGCAGGGAGAGAGAGAGAAAAGAAACAACTGATCTAGTCTGTTGATTCTTTGGCAGGCTTCAGGGTATGTTTGTGTTCAGATGATCAGGGGGTGGAGTTTCTTAGATATGGAGCTTAGCTTAGTTTCTTAGATATGGTGGTTGTAAATTTCTTCCTTAGCTGGGGTGTAAGGTCTGCCATTCCAGTCATTTCCTTTCCATTGGCTCCAGAAATTCTCATGCAAACATTATTATTCAAAGGACTAGTCAGAGGAAAGTCACAAGACTGAGAGTTAGCTTTTGCCAGTTAAAATGTGAAAAGAAGGGGCCAGTGCTGTGGTGTTGTGGACTAAGCCTCCACCTGTGGCACCAGCATCCCATATGGGTGGCTTGTTCGAGCCCCAGCTGCGCCTCTTCTGATCCAGCTCTCTGCTATGGCCGGAAAAGCAGCTGAAGATGATCCAAATACTTGGGTCCCTGCACCCACGTGGGAGACCTGGAAGAAACTCCTGGCTTCAGACTGGCCCACCTCCAGCCACTGTGGCCAACTGGGGAGTGAACCAGTGGATGGAAGATCTCTCTCTCCCTCTCTCTGTCTGTAACTCTGCCTCTCAAATAAAAAAATAAAATGTTTTTTTTTTTTTAATGTGAAAAGAAAGCAAGGGAACATAAATTTGCTATGGCTGCGTGTACACTGAAACATCTATGAGCCTTGGGTCGAACATCTCCCATTACCCGCCCCATGGTGCAACTAGGTAGCTCACGTTTGGACGAGCTGCAGTGCCTGCACCCTGCAGTGTGACCCTGTCTCGAGCTGTAGTCTTTTTTTTTTTTTTTTTTTTTTTTTTTTTTTTTTACAGGCAGAGTGGACAGTGAGAGAGAGAGACAGAGAGAAAGGTCTTCCTTTGCCGTTGGTTCACCCTCCAATGGCCACCGCAGCCGGTGCACTGCGGCCGGCGCACCACGCTGATCCGAAGGCAGGAGCCAGGTGCTTCTCCTGGTCTCCCATGGGGTGCAGGGACCAAGCACTTGGGCCATCCTCCACTACTCTCCCGGGCCACAGCAGAGAGCTGGCCTGGAAGAGGGGCAACCGGGACAGAATCCGGCGCCCCAACCAGAACTAGAACTCGGTGTGCCGGCGCCACTAGGTGGAGGATTACCGCGGTGCCTGCCAACGAGCTGTAGTCTTGATAGGCCAAACTTCCCAGGTTGCATCCAGTACCACAGCGCATGCTCAGACTCCACCCCATTTGTACATCCCATTGGGGTTTCCTCTCCTTCCTTATATACAGAGTGAGAAGGTGGGCGAGAGCCCTCTTTCCACCACTGACAGCTCTCCGGTGGGCTGCTCTCTTTTTGCTTACAGGCTCTGTTCTTGGGTTTTTCCACACTCTCACGGGCAACCCTTTGGCCACTCACGCTGGGTGTTTCTCTGTGTGAGGAGGTCCACACTCACATGTGAATGTGTGTCTATTCCCTCACTGTTAAATACATTCTGGGGGCCAGCATCGTGATGCAAATGGTTAAGGTGCAGCCTGTGATGCCAGCATCTCTTATGAGTGCTGGTGTGAGTCCCAGATGCTCCACTTCCTGCTAAAGGCCTGGGAAAGCAGCAGAAAATGGCCCAGGGGCTTGGGCCCCTACTATCTATGTGAGAGCCCTGGATGGGGTGCCAGGCTCCTGGCTTCAGCCTGGCCCAGCCTCGGGCGTTGTGGTTATTTGGGAAGTAAAACAGCAAATGGAAGACCTCTCTCTCATTCTATCTGTTCCTCTCTGTAACCCTGCTTTTCAAATAAATAATCTTCAAAATAAATAAATTCTGTTTCTCTTTGCCTACAACACTACTCTCCACTTAGTATTTCTGTCTCTACAGAAGAATGTGGATTGGCAGTTAATATGTCCATTGCCCACATCACCCCCACCCCAGAGGAGGTCTGAGAACTGTCCTGTTCCACCCCCCAGCACCTGAAGGGCGACCTGCCTGTTGGGTCAAGTTTGCTGGCCTCCGTCCTGATGTAGCATAAGGCAGGTAGCTAGA